GAATGTACGAAAACAGCAGCTGCGAGATAATTGGTGGAGGACGGATATCAAGATACGGTTAAAAGTTACACATATCTCTTTGAAAAAAGTGAAATTTTTTAGGAAATATCGGTGTGACGCAAGGCTCACTATCCAGGAATATACTATCAACTGGATCGTGTAAGAGTTGTTTCAAATGCCTCTAGTCTCTGAGTGTTTGAAGTCCCATCTGGCAAACTAAGCGCCTGAAAACTTTCAGTGTTCTGATCATATCGATCAAGCCCTTCAATAAAACTGCTCTCTTAAGCAAGCATTTCAGTATAACTAGCCCAACAAGTTCATCTATAGAGTTTACCAAACCGTGGTTGGCTATATTTCCATGGAGATTAATAGTTAAGGGTGAACTTCTTATTCTCCAGACTTGTCTCAACGTGTCTTGGGGCTCAAAGAAGGCTATTATCAAAATAAAATAAAAAATTGTTCTTACCTCGAATGTCAGGTTTTGTGTCATACAAGCGCGTGCTCCCAACCAGGTAAGGGTTTGGTTAAAGAAGTTGTAGATACTGAGAAATGCTATCAAGTTCGCGGCAATGCCCACGGCGATTGGTACCGCCTCGATAGCGCCGACCATAGCAGCTTCGAGACAGTTGGAGTAGGGGCTGATTTGGCGGATAAATCGACAAAGATGTGAGCAGCTCAAAACTACGCCTACTGAATTGCATTTAGCAGGCATGTAAGTATTTTGTAAAGATGGACCGTTACCAATGCCACGGCTGCCGACCTCAATAAGGTACGAATAGATTATATGTTACAGATTTTAACATTCAAGTTTGGGCAGGATTATTCAAAGGCAACATAGAACGTGCACCTGACAGTTTTGTCATATGGTATGACCGCAGTGACCGCAAAACTTAGAATTAGTATACTACTCATTACATTTTAATAAATGTTCTTATATATTATTTAATTTGCAGTAGTGCGCCCCACACCACTACCCGTATAAGATCATCCTGACGCCCGTAAATATTATATTATGCGTAAGCCATCTCTTAAGCTAGCTCGTCATGATACTCGAGGAAGGTTTTTGTGGTCTCCCTAATTGACGGTAAGAAAACCGCGACGACCCCGTCAGCAGTCGACGCATTCCCTACGTATTATCCCTCGGTTCAAGCCCCAGTGGACTGTCGACGATTATGGCGTATACTTCTCTCTTCGCGACTTTGTCGACGGATTCTGCAAGCAGCAAAGGATTGTCTGGCCGCATCTTCCGCACTAAGTTACTGATCGTCGTGACCTCTGTGATTCTCACAAGAACAGCAGTTATTATTCTAAAAAATTCGAAAGGACTGCCTTCTCGTTTTTCCAACTCATCAGCTGGTGAGACGTGGCATTGTCATATCACCTGAGATAAGACTTTTTCTGCTAACATAACAGGTATATAGACAAATAGGGATTTCAAAGGCACACAACCAAATTTCTGAAGAGTATTAAGTGGGTTTACGTTGCTTTCCATAAATTATCCACGGGCGATCACATTTATAAGTGCGGGGGGGGCGTAAAA